TCGTACCCTTGTATATTTTTCATAGTCAACCCCTTTTGGGCGTTTAACCTTTTTTTTGGCAACCATGTTACAGCTATAAACTTTTATTCTTTATTGATCTATCTTTTGGCATTTCACTTCCCTAAGTGATTTGAATGTGTAAACATTGGCTAAACACCTAAGTTTGGGGTGACAGTTGGAAAAGATGTGATGTGGAAGTTGCTTAAAAGGTAAAAGGTTAAAAAGACAAAAATATTAAAAAAAATAGTAGTACCTTCCTTGTTTTTTTTAAAAAAAAATAGTAAGAAAAAAGAGTTGTGAATAAAGGAAAAATAACACATTTTGTCTTGTAAGGAAAAATAAGGAGTTGTGAATAAAGGGAAGACTAGGTGGTGAAATGAAAAGTGAAGAAAGGATGGAAAGGTTTTTGAAGGAAGTGTACTTTATATTGCAAATTGTAGTGCTTAGGGAGGTTTTGAGTCACTCTTACCCCATTTTGACCCTACCTTTACCAAAACACTACATTACAACCCTTTAAGTCTTAATTGATTTTGAACCAAGTGTATCTACATTATTGGAGAAATACATAAAGGGCAAGCCTATGGTACTACTTGTGTATATTTGAACATCCTTGTGAGAGATAGAGTTAATTATTTCCATTTGATATCCCGTTTGTGTTTTAAATTACAATTTATAAGTTGAGATTCATTCTTAAGTGTAAGGGCACATGAAATTTGAGTTGTGAATTTAATCCAATCTCCAATTGGGAGAAATGTACAAAAGAAAGTTGTTTGTGATAATGAGGCAAACTTTGAAGCTTTAGTGTCATGACTTGGTTGCTACTTTTATTAATGTGGTGTTTGAGAACTTGAATTGAAATGAAATTTATGATAAGTTATTAGTGATTCATATGCTTCAGATTAGTTGTTGGTTCCACCGAAGTCACCAGATTGTGTTTAACTTGAACCTTGTTGACTTGAAATGTTGTTTGGTATGCCATTGAGCTTAATTGTTGACTCTATTGAAGAATGTTCTTAGTTGTTGACTTGCTTAAGGACAAGAAATAGTTTATGTTTGGGGATTTAATAAGTTGATATTTTACCAACTTATCTCTTCTTGATACTTAGACTTTTGTTATGATTTTGTTGAGAAACTAAGACAACTGTTAATGTTTATTGGCATATTTCGGGTATCATGTGATTTTGAGAAGATACGGAAGAAAACAAGACAAAATGTGTTATAATGGAAAAATTAACTGCTGCCAGTTAATGCTCTTTGCGATCGCGGAGAGTCTTTATGCCATCGCGGAAGTCCGGGAGAATAGCAATTGTGAATTCGGTGGACGTGTTGCGAACGTGAAAAGGGAAATCTGGTCAGTGATTGATGGAAGGCTAGAATTGCGTATTTGAGTCGCTGATTGCAGTCTAATTCACTGAACTTTACTTGTTTTGAGCTTGAATTGATAGTGTTTTCCACTTATTATGTGTTTTATGCCTTGTAGGAGTAATTCTGAGTGATGTAGATGTTGCAGAGCTAATTCATGCTATTTGGATCTTTGAAGTCTAAGTAAAAGCCCAAGGGATTAAACCGGGGTCATGTTCGGGGGTGGAGAATCAAGTCTGGACGTAAAAAATTGAGATTTGATCCGTACTCTGAGAAATCCTCACTACCGCAGCGCGTGGGGTACCGCACGTGTACAAATTCCTATTGTTTTCCAGAAGTTAGCTCTCTGGATTTTCCCATAAATGCCCCGTATAGCGTGTTGGCCTATGCGGCGCGCCTGTGTATTTTTACAGAGTAAAAATCCTATTTCGGCTAGGAGAAGGTGGTTTCTCCTGGGCCCGACCCTATTCTGTATAAATAGATGAAAAAATGTTATTTACTGGACATTGGACACATATTCAACCTAAAGAGACTAAGGAGGAGTTGGAAGAACACGAGCACAAGGATTTCATCATTCCTTCCTCACTCAAGACACGAGTTTGGATTGAATTTATGTTTTCCTATACTTTAATTTTATTTGTAATGAATTGCTCCATATCCATGAAGTAGTTCTCTTTAGGGTTTGATGGATTTGGTGTATTGATGATTGTTTGTGGATTATAACTCTAGTTTTATGTATTGAAGCATTTTTGGTTGATTTAATTGTTGCATCTATATTCAGTAGTTTATGTAACCGAGAGAGGTATAACTTGTGATATCCTTGCATTATATTGTTGGTTGAGTTCTTTAAATCTTCTTAGTAATCGAGAGAGACTAGTTTAATCATTGATTAAACCTTATTAGGAGAATAATCGAGAGAGGTTCTCCCAAATACCAATCCACTATGCATTCTTGCATATCTGCACGTGCTTATATTGGTTCATCTTGTGAGGTTAAGACTCAATCGAGAGAGAAGGTTTTGCTGAACGTTTGAACTAATAATTGAGTGTATTCGAGAGATCTGCTTAAACATTAGAAGTGAATTACCTAGAGTTAGATCCCAAATAATTATCTTGAACATATCCCTTCAATACCCTATCTTCTCCCATTGATAACCCTCTTTGCTTATTCCTTGTTACAATTGTCATTAGTCAATAACTTTAGATTCTTAGTAAATTTTAGTTAGATATCATATAAATCTGAATTGATGATCATCTTGGATAGCAACCAAGCTAGAAACTACGAGAATACTATTTAAATCCAATCCCCGTGGATACGATATTATACTATACTATATTTAATTAGCGAGCATAGTTTAGGTGTGTGTTTCGATCTCGTCAAATTTTGGCGACAATGTCGGGGATTGACAATCAATAGTGTTTGAAATAGTTTGTAGTGCTAATTCAAGAATTTTTCTTTTTATTTTATTTTATTTTTCCCTTTCACGGTTGGTGTTCTTTCCCGTTGCAGGTTAAGATTGGTGCATGACTCGAGCTTCTGCGGAAGAAGTGCTACCATACAAGCCAGAGATAGAAAAACAACTGCAACAGCCGAAGAAGGAAAGAATTCTCATCGAGACGTTAGAAAAGGTTGGGCAATTCTCAACTAGAGAAACTATGGATGGAGATGGTGATGATAATGTGGATTTAGCTGCAAGTAAGGTAGCTCAACAATGAGAAAACGTTGCATGGGATGCTGAGGAATCATCTATTAGAGATGCACATATTATCTCTGAAGAAGAGAGGGGTCGGAAAATTGCTCAAAATCAATCCTTGGCTGCAGACCAGTTCAGAAATATAGCTCCCATGCCTGGGAGATCACTGGGCGATTATGCTAGACCGGTCTAACACCAAGGTTTATCAAGTGTTATACCACCTCCAATTTCATCTAACAATTTCAAATTGAAGCAAGGATTGCATCAAACCCTTCATAATTGATGTGTCTTCGGAGAGAAGACGAACGAAGATCCAAATACACATTTAATGGATTAGAACTGGGCAATGTCCTTTGACGTACGGGAGAGGTTTAGAAGAGATGATGCAAAGCAATGGCTTCGAAGCTTGCCCACATGATCGATTAGAACATAGGAGGAGATGACCAAAAAATTCCTTGATAAATATTTTTCCTCAGCTAAAACGGGCATGTTTAGAAGAGAAATCCATAACTTCTTCCAGAAAGTAACTCAAAACTATTTTCGAAGCATGGGAGAGGTTTAAGGAGATAGTTAGAAAGTGTCAACATAGAGGAATTGAACTATGGATGCAACTCCAGGAATTTTGGGATGGATTGACACCAGCATACAGAACATTGACCAATGCAGCTCGAGGCCCTTTGATGAAGATGACTCTAGAAGAGATAGTAACAATTCTTGATGAGTTGTCTGAAGATGCAAATCAGTGGCCCTCTGACAGTGCTGAAAGAAGAAGATCAACTGGTGTTCACCAGGTTGATGCTACTACATCTGTGCAGGTATATCTTGATGTTATGGCTAAGGAAATATGAAAGCTAACCTTAGCCTCGATACAAAATGAGCCTCACGCAGCTTGTGATATATGTGGAAGGGGACACCCTACTCATGAGTGTCAAGCCTCAACTGAGGAAGTGAATGTTGTGGAAAACTATAATTTTAATGCAATGGGTCAAAGGCATCCCAGTTTTTCATGGAGTTCACCTGGGGTTACTACGAATGCTTGGCAACAAATAACTCTAGGCCCTAGGGACAAGGAGCTCCATCATTCCAAAATCAGCAGAGGCAGCAATTTCAGCCTCTACTACCCATTCAGTATGGCATAGAAGATCTAATGAAGGCCTTCATTATCAAGACAGATGAGAGGTTGGACGCCCATGGAGCAGCTATCAAAGAACTGGGCTGGGCACATCTTTTCGAAACCTGGAGAGACAAGTGGCACAAATTGCAACAATATTATCTGAGAGGGTTCCAGGAAATCTCCCCACTGATACTAAGAGAAATCCCAAAGAAACAATGAATGTTGTAACTCTGAGAAGTGGGCAAGTGTTGAAAGATCCCACCCCGATACAAAATGATGTGAAACTTGAAAAAGAAAGTGTGGAGCTGAAGAATGATGTTGATGAAAAGAAGAAGGGCCAGGTGAAAGCTGAGAAAAATAAGAAAGGAGAAACTTCGAGATGGGAGGACCATGATGAGAGCGAGCATATTCCTTTTTTTACCTTTCCCCCAAAATCTATATAGAGAAAATCCAGACAAGCAGTTTGTGAGATTTCTGGATGTGCTAAAATAGGTTCATATAAACTTACCATTCACAGAAGTGCTCTCACAAATGCTTGGTTATGCCAAATTCTTGAAGGAAATCCTGACAAAGAAGAGGAAGATAGAAGAGACCTCAGTGGTCAAGCTCAAAGAGCATTGCATTGCGATATTGGAAAACAAACTCCCACAAAAGTGTGGAGATCCAGGGAGTTTTACTATACCTTGCTCTATAGGAACTATTCATTTTAATAAATCATTATGTGATTCTGGTGCCTCAATTAATTTAATGCCTCTATCTATTTACAGGAAATATGAGAAGGAGATTAGAGAGATAAGGTATGCACCAATATTTTTGTAGCTAGCAGAACAAATGACTGTAATACCCGAGGACATAGTGGAAGATGTGTTAGTTCAGGTGGATAAGTTCGTATTTCCTGTCGATTTTATAGAGGTAAAAATGGAGGAAAACAAGGAGGTCCACCTCATCCTAGGAAGACCATTCTTAACAACGGGTAGAGCGATATTGGATATACATGAGAGAAAACTCATGCTTAGAGTAGGTGAGGAGAATGTGACTTTCAAGATGGATGTCGAAAAGTTGGCACGAAAGGAAAACCCAGCTGTAACTGTTAAGTGGAAAGTGAAGGGCTCAAAAGAGAAAAATGCGGTGAGAGAGAAAGATAAGTGTGGGTTGTACTCCAATAAGGCTGAGAAGAAGTTGTCTGCATGGATGTGTGCATTAGTTCGGGCGCGAGGAACGGAGCCCGACTTTGACTCAGACCCCGACTAGATATTCAGGAAAGTTTCCTTTACTTTATGCTTTTTAATTGTGTGTCATGGGGACATGCCATAACTTAAAGTGTGTGGTGAGGGATATTATGTATGTATGTATGTATATTAGTTTTCTATTTGTTAGTTGTAGTAGATAGAGATAGAAAATAATTGAAAAAACCATAAAAATTGAAGCATTTTCGATTATTCCCGAAGATGGATATCATTCGACGAGTTTCTTGAGGGATTAAAGTGGAAAGAAAAGGTAAAAAAGATTTTCTTTTGTTAGGTAGAGTAATAATCCCCCCTTGGTTTTTTTGTGCCGCAGTTCTTTTCCAAGGGTTTTGTTTGAATCAGATGTAGTTAGTTTTTTGTTTTTATTAGGAGTAGGGAAACTTGTGCGGTGATTTGAATTGAAGGAAATATCTCTTAACTTTATTATACCTTGAGAATAGTAAGTTCTTTAGTTGTGACGCTTAGGCTCAGTTTTTGACTCTTGTATAAGTACCTTAAAGTGTATGATATTAACTTTGCTTAACTGCTTTGACTAGAGTGTCTTGATTGTCCGGTCCTGAGTGAGTTATGTTCCATGTGTGTTTGAGGTTTTGTGTTATTCTGTGCATTGCATTTGATGTCTAGAACTTGCCCCGTGTGTTTGCAAACCGAAATAGTAGTTTTATTCAGTCTTGGAAGTGATATAGGCATTTCCTTGTTAAGCTAGTTATATGCTTCTACCCACCTAATTGTTATGTATCTTAGTTAACCCCGTTGAGCTTATAATCATGTTTCTTTGGCAACCACATTACAAGCCCTACCAATTATTTTGAATTGCCCATCTATTTGAACTTTTACCTCTCGTGAGCACTTGAATTTGTTATGAACTTTGTAAAAGGTGAAGTGTGGGGTGGTTGGTTTGGCTTTTGAGTGGAACTATTGAAATAAGGAAGAAGGTGCATCGTTTTGAAAAAGTAATAGCCACTTGAATTGAAAAAGAAAAGGAAACAAATAGTCGTATTGTTGTGCAAAATATTCTTTGATAGTGGTGAATCTTGACGTAATTGTGCTTAAAGAAGTAGGGAGTTAATATATATTGATGTGAAGGTAGAGTTATGGTATGACACAAGTGTGGGGTTGTGAACAATAAAATGTATGTAGTAAAGTGCTTAGGGAGGTGTAGTCACTCTTATAACCAAATGCATCCTACCCATCCTGCAGCCAACATTACAACCAATTAAAGTCCTATTTGATCCTTGACTGAATGAGCTCAATTAGTAGAGTAGTACACTACGGGAAAGCTTATGGTACGTCTTTTTGTGGCACTCAAATGTTATTTCTGAGAGTGAGCGAATTCTTTCTATCTTAAGTTCCTAATTGTTCTTGATTTCTATTGTGTGTGGAACTACTTTGTATTGTTGTATGAGGGTACTTAATTCATGAAGGAAAGGTAATGTCATTGACCTCTATGTTAGATTAAGTGAGCGGATTGTGAAAAATACGTGGTGCTTTTGAGTCCAATTTTGAGGCTAGGATGTTACGGTACTGTACTTAATCTGTTTTAAATGTTCATGGTGTGATGAGTTATGACAGTTGTTGAAAAAGGGCGTGTTCTATGTGATATGTCGTTTGATTGATCAAGGACGAGGAATGGTTTAAGCGTGGGGTGTTGATGATAGGCTAGAATTGCGTATTTTACTCGCTTACTGCACTCTAATTCACTAAACATTACTCGTTTTGAGCTTTAATTGATAGTGTTTTCCACTTATTGTGTGTTTTATGCCTTGTAGGAGTAATTCTGAGTGATGTAGATGTTGCCTTAATTCATTAAGGAAAGGTAATGTCATTGACCTCTATGTTAGATTAAGTGAGCGGATTGTGAAAAATGCATGGTGCTTTTGAGTCAAATTTTGAGGCTAGGATGTTACGGTACTGTACTTAATCTGTTTTAAATGTTCTTGGTGTGATGAGTTATGACAGTTGTTGAAAAAGGTCGTGTTCTATGTGATGTGTCGTTTGATTGATCAGGGACGAGGAATGGTTTAAGTGTGGGGTGTTGATGGTAGGCTAGAATTGCGTATTTTACTCGCTTACTGCACTCTAATTCACTGAACATTACTAGTTTTGAGCTTTAATTGATAGTGTTTTCCACTTATTGTGTGTTTTATGCCTCGTAGGAGTAATTCTGAGTGATGTAGATGTTGCCTTAATTCATTAAGGAAAGGTAATGTCGTTGACCTCTATGTTAGATTAAGTGAGCAGATTGTTAAAAATGTGTGGTGCTTTTGAGTCAAATTTTGAGGCTAAGATGTTACGGTACTGTACTTAATCTGTTTTAAATGTTCTTGGTGTGATGAGTTATGACAGTTGTTGAAAACGGTCGTGTTCTGTGTGATGTGTCGCTTGATTGATCAAGGACGATGAATGGTTTATGAGTGGGGTGTTGATGGTAGGCTAGAATTGCGTATTTTACTCGCTTACTGAACTCTAATTCACTACACTTTACTTGTTTTGAGCTTTAATTGATAGTGTTTTGCACTTATTGTGTGCTTTATGCCTTGTAGGAGCGATTCCAAGTGATGTTGATGTTGCAGAGCTAATTCGAGCTATTTGGATCTTTGAAGGCTGAGTAAAAGCCCAAGTGATTAAGCCGGGATCATGTTCGGGGGTCGAGGACCAAGTTTGGACGTCAAAAATTGCGATTTGATCTGTACTCTGAGAAATCCTCACTATCGCGATGCGTGAGGCAACACGCGTGTACAAATTCCTGCTGTCTGTCAGAAGTTAGCTCTCTCGATTTTCCCACAAATGCCTCGTATGGCACGTCTCCCCATGCGGCATCTGTGTATTCTTTACTGATTAAATATATCCTATTTCGGCTAGGAGAAGGTAGTTTCGTCTGGGCCCGACCCTACTTTGTATAAATATATGAAAAACGTTATTTCATGGACTTTGGACACATATTCGACCTTAGGAGGCTAAGGAGGAGTTGGAAGAACACGAGCACAAGGATTTCATCATTCCTTCCTCACATAAGACACGAGTTTGGATTGAATTTATGTTTTCCTATACTTTAATTTTATTTGTGATGAATTGCTCCATATCCATGGAGTAGTTCTCTTTAGGGTTTGATGGATTGGGTGTATTGATGATTGTTTGTGGATTATAACTCTAGTTTTATGTACTGAAGCGTTTTTGGATGATTTAATTGTTGCATCTATATTTACTAGTTCATGTAATCGAAAGAGGCATAACTCGTGATATCCTTGCATTATATTATCGGTTGAGTTCTTTAATTCTTCTTAGTAATCGAGAGAGGCTAGTTAAATCATTGATTAAACCAAGTTAGGAGGATAATCGAGAGAGGTTCTCCTAAAGACCAATCCACTACGCATTCTTGCATATCTTCACGTGCTTATATCGTTTCATCTTGTGAGGTTAAGACTTAAACGAGAGAGGAGTTTTTGCTGAACGTTTGAACTAATAATTGAGTGAATTCGAGAGACTCACTTAAACATTAGAAGTGAGCTACCTAGAGTTAGATCCCAAACAATTATCTTGTACCTATCCCATCAAAATCCTATCTTCTCCCAATGATAACCTTCTTTTCTTGTTCCTTGTTGCGATTGTAATTAGTCAATAACTTTAGATTCTTAGTAAATTTTAGTTAAAAATCATATAAATCTTAATTGTTGATCATATTGGATAGCAACCAAGCTAGAAACTACGAGAATACTATTTAAATCCAATCCCTGTGGATATGATATTATACTATACTATATTTGATTAGCGAGCATAATTTAGGTGTGTGTTTTGAGCTCGTCAAATTTTGGACGTCCAAATCCACTTCTAAAAAGTAAATGGACACAGTCGCATGCAATATAATTTAGCCAACTATGAGTCGGGGTAGAATCATACAAAGAACAATATGTAGGCAATTAGGCGTGTAAAAGAATTATCACTTATTATGCTAAGCCAAACACTTCGAAACATTTTGAGAAAATATTTATAACTAATTGTGAAAACAAAAACTAACCTATAAAGCAAGTAAAATGATCAATGGCTACAAGCATGGATGCTATGTGAATTACACTCAAGTAACGATCCAATGTATTTCACGATTTTACAAATATGAGCGAGTTTATGTTAATTAGCCTCGGGTAATAATTCTATATTAGCTTCTTCCGATGAATAACAAGACCTCCTAATTGAATTATCCCTAAAACAATTAAGAGATTAAGCACACCCGAATATGGCTACAAGTAGTTCAATCCTAACCCTAGATAGAATCTATAAACTGAGGGTTAACGCCTCAAATTCTTGTTAATTAATCTTTCCCAGCCCCAAATTATCTTTCCCAAAATTAATTCAAAGTGAATGGGCGAGTCCTGTGGTTAGCCAATCCCTTTGGAAACATTAAAGAACAAGAATAATTAAAAAAACAATAGCTCACTTCATAATAAATAAAAATCATTCAATACATAAGCACAACAAGATATTTAATACACACTTTAAATATGAATATTCCCTAAACAAGTTATAATATGCGACCACATAATAGGTCTGCGGACCGTAGACCGGTCACAGAGTGAGGCAGGAGTGCGCAGTCCCGAAGGGCCATTATGCGGACTGCAGAAGCATTATGTGGACCGCAGAAGCATTATGCGGACCGCATAAGCGTTATGCGGTCGCATATGGGACCGCAGATCTGCATCGGGGCTTCATTTTTTCTAATTTTTGAACCCGACCCCATTCTTATAAAACAGTCTTAGGGATCATTTTAGAAGGTTATAACTTATATTTCTAGAGATAGGGAGTGATATATAGTAAGAGGGGAAGTTCCTAAGCTTATCATTAATCAATTCTTGCTCAAAGTTAAAGAATTTACAAGGAGAATTCACTAGGTCCTCATCCTAGAGGAAAGATTCTACTCCTTAGCCCTCAATTTCGTGATTTTAACTGAAAATAGGTAATAAGCAAAGAAATTCTTGGGTATGGGATTTGTTTATTTTACATGCATGTATC